GGCCACTGCACTACAGTCTGGGTGACAGAGTGAGACTCCAACTCAAAAAAAAAAAAAGAATTTTAGAGAAACTACAGTTTTAAAATCCTTGGCTATACACACTTTGTTCCCATCATAAAACTCTGAAATATGATAACAACTAAACTGCCAATGAATGTAAATACCTTTATGGTCAACTGTAGAACAACTAAAAGTGCAATTCACCTTGAATTCAGGATATGATGAAATGCTGACTAAGAGACGGATAGAGAGAAAAATTCATTCAAAACACTAAAAATTTTAAGTATTTTTTTGATTATTCATCTTGAACTTATCAACATAGCAAAAGGGAAAAAGACTAAGGAAACAGTAACACTTCTCAAATTATTTTATCTTTATTATACTCAAGTGTATCTCACCTTAAACAATCCATTTTCATATGCTCAGAATGTAAACTTTTGGATTTTTTTTTTTTTTAAGTTGGAGCCTCACTCTGTCACCCAGGCTGGAGTGCAGTGGCACGCTCATGGCCACTGAAGCCTCGACCTGCTGAGCTCAGGTGGTCCTACCTCAGCCTTCCAAGCAGCTGAAACTATAGGCGTGCACCACCATGTCTGGCTAATTTTTTTTTATTTATTGTAGAGACGAGGTCTCGCCATATTGCCCAGGCTGGCCTTGAACCCCTGGACTCAAGCAATCCTCTTGCCTCAGCCTCCCAAAGTACTAGAATTACAGGCTTGAGCCACCAAGCCTGGCTACTTTTGGATTTTTCAAATAATTATTCTTCTTCTAAAGACAGAGGAGTAAGATATGATCCCTAAAACTCAAAAGAAACTTGGTTCTTAAAATTCTAGACATATGACAATTTCTAAAGGAGGTGAAAAAAACGTAGCTATTAAAAACATTTTTGGAGAAAAAAAATCAAACTACCTACTGAAACTTATTTAACATAATTTACAAATATGAATACATCATTTTGCCTCTAAGCTTTCTCCTTAAGGTCTTTAAAGTTCCAACTGAGTCTTGGAATACTGGAACAATATTCCCTCCCAACCATTCCAAAATGATGTTCAACATAGAATTTCTTTTCTTTTCTTTCTTTCTTCTTCTTCTTCTTCTTGGAATACTGGAACAATATTCCCTCCCAACCAACCATTCCAAAATGATGTTCAACATAGAATTTCTTTTCTTTTCTTTCTTTCTTCTTCTTCTTCTTTTTTTTTTTTTTTTTAATCAGAGTCTTACTCTGTTGCCCAGGCTGGAGTGCAGTGGCATGATCACGATGAACACAGCTCATGGCAGCCTTGACCTCCTGGACTCAGGTGATCCTTCCACCTCAGCATCCTGAGTAGCTGGGACTACAGGCACATGCCACCATGCCCAGCTAAAATTTTAATTTTTTTGTAGAGACAAGATTTCACTATGCTGTCCAGGCTGGTCTCCAACTCCTGGGCTCAAGCAATCGGCCCTCCTTGGCCTCCCAAAGTGCTGGGATTACAGGTGTAAGCCACCGCTCCTGGCCCAAACAATGAAATTCATAAAGAAAACTGGTATTATGAACTGGAGGTCATTTCTAAAAATTAGGCAAGAACTGGCCAACAGAAACGCAGCTTTGAAAATAAAATCTGAAAATTATTAAATTAAAATTAACCCAACCTAGGTTTTATAGAGAGAAGCAGTGCCAGCGTGGGCAACATAGCAAGAACTTGTCTCCACAAAAAAATAACAAAATTAGCTGAGTGTAGTAGTATGCACCTATAGTCCCAGCTACTTGGAAGGGAGGCTGAGGCAGGAGGATTGCTTGAGCCCAGGAGTTCAAGGTGGCAGTGGGTCATAATCTTGCTATTGTACTCCAGCTTAGGAAACAGAGTAAGACCCTGACTTTAAAAAAAAGATGAAGCAGCAGCAGCAGCTATGTTTGTTTCATCTATTAAGTAACATGGGACTTTAAAATAGTTATATAAAAACAAAATTAAAAGATGGTTTTTTGAAAATTATATATGAATAAATTTCTAGCCAGACTGAACAGGAAAAAAAAAATGGGGGAGGCTGGGTTCGGTGGCTCAGCCTGTAATCCCCGCACTTTGGGAGGCCAAGGCAAGTGGATTGCCTGACTCCGCGGGTTCGAGACTCACCCAGGCAACTTGGCAAGACCTCATCTCTACAATAAATCAAAAATTAGCCAGGCGTGGGAGCGCGTGCCTGTAGTTCTGGCTACTTGGAAGGCTGAGGTGGAAGGATCGCCAGAGCCCAGCAGGTCGAGGCTGCGGTGGCCGGGAGCATGCTACTGTACTCCAGTCTGGGCGACAGAGTGAGACTCCAACTCAAAAAAAAAGCAAACAAAAAAAAAAAAACAGGGGGAAGGACATCACTACAGACAAATGTATGATATATTAAGGAAAGTTAAATGAAGCATACACAAGAACTCTCTAAACTGTCTATGCCACTCTTCCATAAGTCTAAAATTACTTTTAAATCAAAAGTTAAAAAGTCCCAGAAAGAAAATTCCAGGACTAAATGGGTTCAGTAGCAAATTCTAGCAAATATTTAATAAAGAGAAAACTACAAATGCTACATAAACTCTTCCAGAAAACTGAAGACAAACTTTCTCAACTTATTATTTGGGTTCAGCATTAATATATGATGAAAACCAGACAAAGATATAACAAGAAAAGATCATAACTATCAACCAACAAAGTACCTCTCATGAACACAGACGCAAAATCCTTAACAAAATTTTAGCAAATTGATTCCAGTAATGTTTTAAAAGAACTTGAAAAGTAAATCAAATAGGATTTACTCCAGGAACGTAAGGTTGGTTTAAAATTCCAAAATAAACCAACATAATACACCACATTCATGGACAAAAAAAGAAAAACCATGATCATCTCAATAGGTGCAGAAGAAATGCTTGACAAAATCCATTATCCATTAACGATAAAAAGTCTTAGCAAACTAGGATTAGATGAAAACTTTCTCAACCTGATAAAAGGCATCTACAAATAAAACCTACACTGAAAATTAAACTTAGTAGTGAAAGGATAAATGTTTTCCTCTATAGGAGAACAGGAACAAAACAAGGACATTTTCTTTTACTACTTCTATTCGATATTGTACTGGAGGTTCTAGCCAGAGCAATAAGGCAAGGTAAAGAAATAAATGGCATACGTATAGAATAGGAGGATGTGGGCCAGGTGTAATCTCAGTGCGTTGGGAGGCTGAGGTGGGAGGATCACTTGAAGCCAGGAGTTCAAGATCAGCCTAGGCCTTGTCTCTACAAAAAAAAAAAAAAAATTTGCTGGATATGGTGGTGAGGGCATGGTGGCACTGCTTGTAGTCCCAGCTACTCGGAAGGCTGAGGCAGGATAATCATTTGAGGAGAACTGTTCTAGGAGTTCAAGGTTATAGTGAGCTATCATTGTGCCACTGCACACCAGCTGGGGTGGCAGAGTGAGAAAAATGTCTCTAAGAAAATCAAAATTTTAAAAAAGAATAGGAAGTAACATTGTTTTCATTGCAGACAACATAATTGTCTATATAGAGAATCCAATGAAAGCCATAAAAATGATACTAGAATTAATAAGTGAGTTTAACAAGACTGCAGAATACTAGGTTAATTTATAAAAATCAATTATATTTCAATTTACTAGCAATGAAGAAAAAAATTTAAAAATTTTGAAATACCATTTGAAATGTCATTTAAAATAGCATCAGAAAGTATGAAAATGCTTAAGGATAAATTTAGCAAAAAATAAATATACAACATCTGGACACTGAAAATTACAAAATATTGCTGAGAGAAATTCAGGACCTAGATTTTAAAAAAAGATACACCATGTTCATGAGTCAGAAAACTCAATACTATTAAGATGGTTATTCTCCCCAAATTCATCTATAGATTCAATGCAATCTCTCTTTCTCTTTTTCCTTTTTATTTTTTGAGTTGGAGTCTTACTCTGTCGCCCAGGTTAGAGTGCAGTGGCACACTCATGGCCACTCCAGCGTCGACCTGCAGGGCTCCGACGATCCTTCTGCCTCAGCCTTCCAAGTAGTCAGAACTACTGATGCATACTATCTTGCCTGGCTAGTTTTTTAAATTTACTATAGAGACAAGGTCTCGCCAAGTTACCAAGGCTGGTCTTGAACACGTGAGGCAATCCACTCACCTCAGCCTCCCACACTGCTGGAATTACAGGCTGAGTCACTGAGTGCGGCCTCAATGCAATCTCAACTAACATTCCAGCAGGCTTTTTGTAGAAACTGATAAGATGTTCTAAAATTTATATTAAAATGCTTAAAGCCATCAGTAGTCAACAGGATTTTGACAATAAAGTGTAAAGTTGGAGGCCATACACTATACTACCTTGCAACTTATTATAAAGTCAAAATAATCAAGACTGTTTGGTTTTGATGCAAGATAGACACAGAGTCCAGAAACAGAGTCACACG